TATTTACGTAAAATTGCGTAATTTCTTGCATAATATTGCGTAATAATCTTACGTAATATTTCGTAATTGTATATTTCGCAATATTGCGAAAGTTTTTACGTAATATTATGGTTTTCTTACGCTTTGTAAATTATTGCGCAATATTACGCCCTATTAAATTTGCTAATATAGTTTAAGTCAGATTTATAGCTTTTGTTTATTTATATAAACCCTAATCCCGGAATCGGTTGGAGTTCAAATTGGCACTATTTGTCTATAACTGCCTTGCTCTCCCAAACACAACCATTATATTTGGTGCCAGTTGTGTAGAATAAACAAAATATCTTCTCTCAAATTAAATTAGCGTATTAGTTAGAATTAATGTTCTATATAGAAAAATTCAAAAATTACAAACTTATCTTAAAATAAAATATGACTCAACGTTTGCCAGTAAACCCAGCCCGACCTCCTTTAGGTAATCCGGCTCCCCCGTCGCAGCAGCCAAACCCAGTTCAGCTTCTCAATCCGCCACAACCACCTTAACAGCTGCAGCAGCCACAACCATTGAATCCCGTTGATAACTTAGCCGCACAGATTGGGCTATTGATTCAACAAATGCAAGCAGCTCCGGCACTACAGGTTCATTATAACCCTCCTAATAGAGAATTAAGTCTGGTTGCATATCCCGATTTTATGGGTGGGGACCAGGACCCTATGATCTGGCTTGATGAGGTTGAGAAGGCTTTTGCCGCTAATCTGGTAAACAACGACTGACGAATCCTGGTAATCGTTCCCCATCTAAAGGATGCAGCAGCAACATGGTGAGCAACCACACAGTGATCACCAAACTCTATTAATATCTGGAACGACCCAGCTCACCCAAACACAAGTTTTTGTCCTCATTTCATCATTCAGTTTTGTACTCTGGCATTGGAAGGAAAATGGTTTGCTGAATTAGCTACCCATAAGCAGCAAGCTAGCGAGGATATAGATACCTACCACACAGCAATTCAAGAATTGCTTCGTCAAATCGAAACTGAGGCTTAACCATACCCAGAAACAGCTAAAGCCCAACTTTTTCTCAATGGGCTATGACCCGACATCATATTAGCTATCGCCCCATTTACTCCAAATACATTGCAGGTAGCCTACAATCAAGCTAAGGCCTATGAGGGTGCCTGTAAACAAAATCTCCCATATTTACCAGCCCCTATTAGCACTTTATATTCCACCCATGTAACTAGGAGCACCTCGACTGGTTTTTCTTCTCAACCTGCCAGTTTTGAAACAGCTATAGACAAATTAACCAACGCCGTTAATAAAATGTTAGTCCAACTTCAAGAACATCGCACATCTACCTCCGGAAATTATAATAGGGTGGTCTGTTATAAGTGTGGTAGGGCGGGACACATAAGTAGAAATTGCCATTCCCCTAATGTACCTAACTCTCCACCTAACACACCCCAAAACTATGCTTCATTAAATCAAATATATAACTCTGGGCAAAATTTGGTCCCAGGCACATACCCTTTAGTTAATTCAAATCCCCAACCTACTCCTATACCTACTGGTTCTAATTCTACTCCTAATAATAACATTAATCATAACATTAATTCTAGTTTAGGAAATGTCTCGGAAATACAGCCCCAGGAGGCTCTACAAGCCTTACTAGCCATGGCCGCTAGTTTAAATTCGTCGCCAACCCAAAATAATTTGGATAATCAAAATTCAACTAATAATCAAACAACCTTCCTTAATCTATTTGAAGAAGACATACCTTTTTTAACTATAAAGTCTCGGTCTTCAAAGCATCTTCGAGAAGAAAATAGTGACTTAGAGTCTGAAGTAGAAGAATCGTTGAAATCATTGTTAGAAAAAGAAAAAGAAAAGGATAGATTAGAGAAAGAAAAAGAAAAAGACAAAGATAAATTAAATAAAGAAAAGGATACAAGTAACCCATCTAAAGTTCTAGTAGTTAAGTCAAAGCGTATTCCTATAATAAGATGAAAGATTCCTGAAGAATAAATACTACAAAATTCCTCTTTGGTCCTTCTGTATTCAGTTATAACTGATTTAAGAGATAAACCAGCTAATATTACTATAAGACAACTCTTGCGAGCAATTCCGGCTATGCATACTGAATTAATTCGGAGTCTTTATAAGAAAAAGATTCCTTCCAAATGAAAAGCAAGAGTCAATATTAGTATAGCCTCTAGCAGTAAGTCTACGGCTTTGTATTGTGATATCACCGTTCTTGGTGTAGAAGTGCCTATTATAGTGGATAGTGGATTCTCCGGTAGTGTTGTTACTTCTCATTTGTTGCATGACCTTGGTATTAAGGTTGAAAGGCCATCTACTATTAATATAGTAAACATTCACGGAGAAAGTAAGCGGGCTCTTGGTGAAATCTCCGACTTTCCTTTCATTGTTGCCAGCATGAAAATTCTATTGATGTTGTTATAACCGACGCTAACTCTTATCATGCCATCATTGGTAACGATTAGCTTTCTAAAGTCCAAGCTAAAATTGACTGAACTACTGCCGAAATGACCCTTACCTGAGGTGATCAGGAAATAATTGTCCCCATAGAGTTCAAAAGATTACTACCTGAACCTTTAAGTAAAAATCGCCCTAATAAAGTAAAAAGTTTAAATGAGGAAAAAGAAGAAAGATTAGATGAAGATTTAATTGACGATAAATATGAAGATGAAGAACTAGAAGAGAGAGTTTATAATTATTCTGGGTTCGAAGAAGATAATTACCTTTCAGACTCATCAGAATCCTCGGAGTCTTTAAGTCCCTATCAAGATAATTCTTTTCAGGCTCGTAAGAACAATATAACTTCAACTAATACATCCATAAATTGATCCCTTAATATTTTATTTAAATTACCTAGCAATCCTGCCTCATTCATTAACCCTAGTCTTAAATTATTTGTACCTTTAACTAGTAAAGAGTCACATCCTATTTTACCAATTATTATTCCCCCTGTTAATTAAGATAATAGTAATTGTTATAATACCCAAATTAACAATGTAGGCTCCCCGGAACCTAAAAATAATACTTTACCTCCAACTCCGGTTGTATCTGAACCCTTTGAAGAGTTAAGGCATTATATATCTCGACTTAAAACCCAATTGGGTTGCTCTTCGAATATTTTGAAAAATTTAAATTCTATTTCTAGTAATTCGCCTATCCCATCTTTAGTTGTAATACCGAAAAAAGTTTTTCTTGATATTCTTTAACTCCTATCTTTAAATTATATCCGAAAAGAAATATCTTTATATTTATCTAATTCGGATAATCTCCTTCCATTAGTTTATTATGACACAATGACCTCTAGTAGCGATGTCTCACCTGTTCTTAATAAAACTTTACTTAATAATAGTATTTATAGCCCTTCTAATAACCAACACCATTTTTTAACCAATACTAACCCTGTTAAGACTAATAAGATAGTATCTCTATTTATTGCTATTCCTAATCTGCCGTAATATTTCTTGAAGAAGACTCAGATGAGTTTAGCAATTCGTGCTTCGAGTGGTATGTATTGGCCTGGAAAAGAAAAACTCCTAAATATAAGTTTAATGAAAACGATTCAGATACTGACGAAATAATTGATGAAGTTCGAAGATTAAATAAATTGAAAAAAGAAAAATTTAGGTTTCCTTCGGCTAAGTGTTCATATGACTTAGCCGGAAATGTTTATTTTTATGAAGAAAGAGTTAAACCAGATCTTCATGGTTATATCTCTAGTAATTACAAAGAAGAAAAACTCAACCTTATTAGTGATATCTTCGACTACTACTTCGGGGAAGAAGTTTATAGAAAAAATACTTTCAATATAGGTTCCTTTGATGAGAAACGAAGTAACCGGCTTAGGAATTTCTTGGAACAAAATTCAAGTTTATTTGCTTGGGAAGGTTATAGATTAGGACGTACCAATTTAATCAAGCATACTATTAATACTGGAAACACCTTACCCATTAAGCATCATCCATATCGGCATTCTCCTGCTGAGAAGAAAATAATTAAAACTGAAATTGATAAAATGTTAAAAGAAGGTTTAATCTAACCTTGCCAAAGTCCATGGACATCTCCTGTGGTATTGGTTCTTAAACCCAATAGTCAAACCCGGTTTTGTATAGATTACTGAAAGCTCAATTCAGTAACTCAAAAAGGCAACTATCCCCTACTACGTATTCAAGACTTTTTGGATGCTTTAAACAGATTGTCTTGGTATAGTTCACTTGACCTTGCTAGTGGGTACTGGCAAGTCGAAATAGAAAATTCAGATAAACTTAAAACAGCATTCACCACTTTTTTTGGTATATACATGTTCCATGTTATACCTTTTGGGCTGACAAATACCCCGGCTACCTTTCAACACCTCATGGATTACCTTTTTCAGGACTTAATAGAAGAATGTGTTGTTGTCTATTTGGATGATATTAATATCTACTCAAAATCTTTTGAAGAGCACCTAACCCACCTAAAATTAGTTTTTAAACGGTTGAAACTTGCTGGTCTCACCTTAAAATCATCTAAATGTTTCTTTGGCCGTAGGGAATTAAAATTTTTAGGTTATATTGTTAAGAAACAAGGTATAGCCACCGATCTGCAAAAGGTAGAAGCCGTAAAGAATTTTCCTATTCCCAAAAACTTAAGGCAATTACGAGGATTTCTAGATTTAGCCTCATATTATAGAAAGTTTATTAAGAACTTTACTCAAGTCGCTGCCTCACTTAATCTATTATTAAAGAAAAATAAGGCTTACGCGTGAAAAGAAGAACAACAAAAGGCTTTTGAAGCCTTAAAAGAAAAATTAACTACCGCCCCCGTTTTAACGTATCTGGACTTTAATAAGACCTTTATTCTTTTTATTAACACATCCGATATCGCTTTAGGTGCTATATTATTCCAAAAAAATGAAAAAGAATACGAACAGATTATATCATACGCTAGCCGAAGTCTTACCCAAGCTGAAAAAAATTACTCCGTAATCGAAAAGAAATGTTTAGCTGTTGTATGGGCCGTTGGTTACTTTCGTCCCTATTTACATAGGAGTTGATTTATATTATATACTAACCATTCCACCCTTAAGTATTTGTTTGACGTAAAATTACCCCAAGATCGTTTGGCCCGATGGATAATGACTCTTACCGAATATTCCTTCACCACTGTACATCACCCTGGAAGATTTCATTCCAACATCAATAGTTTATCCCGAATTTAATAGGTCGCCGCCGATAAAGCACCTGTGGTTCTAAAATAGTTAAGAAAAAGAAAAAGTAGAAAATATATATATCAAATTTTTAGAACCTGACAAAAATAAATTTTTGGAACCCGATAAAAACAAAAATTGTTTTTAAATCTTTATACATTCCTTCTTTAAATCTGTTAATCCAGTCCAGGTTTCGGTGTCCTGGCATTATCAATAATTTTTAGATTCTTAAGATTCTTATTACCTGTTTTTTTTTCTTTTAAAAGAAAATAATTAATTCTTCGAACGCGGATTAGACCAAGTTAGAGGGTATGGATCCCCAATTATATAATATTTATCTACAATACCTTGTAAACACTACAGTATCTTCCCGCCTAACTCCTAAAGAAATTAAAGACTTAAAATATAAAACCTGACATTACTTGGTCTTAGAAGGATTACTATATAAGATTAATTTTCGCAATTCTACGTGTTCATTACGAGCCTTAAAGAAAGGAGAGATTCAACCCATCTTTTTCAGTATGCACGACGACCCTCTCTCTGTGCATTTTGGCTTTTATACCACTTACACAAGAATTGCCACCCGTTATTTTTGGTCTCAAATGGGCAATGATATAAAAGAGTATATTAGAACGTGTAATATATGTCAGAAAAAACAAAAACCTAATACCCGTGAACCTTTGTATTCCATTAAAGTTGGAAGTCCCTTTGATCATATAGATATTGATATTGTAGGTCCACTTCCCATAACTTCCACCAATAAAAGGTACATTGTAGTTGCTACTGAGTACCTTATGAAATGGCCCAAAGCTTGCGCACTTGAAATAGCCAATGCTGAAAGTGTCGCCACTTTTATTTTTGAATACCTAATCTGCCGTCACGATAGTTCCAAAGAGATATTATCAGACCAGAGTACACATTTTTGTAATAAACTCGTTTTGGCCCTCTGTAAAAAATTAAGTATTATCTACCATACATCCACAGCATATCATCTCCAAACTAATGGATTGGTTGAATGCTTCAATAAAACTTTATGTGGAGTTCTTAGTAAATGTACTATTCAGTTTAATCAAGGATGAGATGAATATATTTCTCTGGCCCTTTTTGCTTACCGGACTACTCTGCATTGTACCAACTGTTTTTCTTATTGTATAGACAATCACCTGTTCTTCTAGTAGAAATTAACTTAACAACCTACCAAACTCGACCTGGAACAGAAGAAGAGTTACAAAATCAGATATTAAGACAGGTAGAAAAATTAATAGGCGAATTAGTAAAAGCCCGCTGTATAGCAGCTGAAAAAATTAAAAAGTCACAAGTTAAACAAAAACAATACTATAAACAAAGAAATAAAATAGAGTCATATGAAATTGGCAATCAGGTCCTTTTATATAGGTCTGATTTAGTCACGTCACACAGCTCTAAATTAGAACCTCAAAATTTAGGCCTCTATTATATCCATGACGTGCTACCCTTTGGGTTGTACAAGTTACGCACCCTGAATAGGCACGTGTTTAAAATGAAGTTTCATGGAAACTGGTTGTCGCTTTACTATCCGCGACGTGAATTTTGTGGAACCCCCTTGAACTATTGTCACAAAAGATAAAAGCCCAGTTGAAAACTTTGTTCTCTCCTTCCTTATTATTTTATCATTTTTTTTTATTTTTTATTTCATTATTTTCTTTTGGTTTTCGATGGAAATCCTCACCCCCATTAAAAAGACTTTAACTACTTTAAAAGCACAAATGTCAAGGGCTGGTATCGAAGGCACTTACTTTGTTTTTGCCGATACTATTATTTATTTAGCAGACCAACAGTCTCAAGTCATTAATTCTGACCCTCCTAAATGCAAGACTGATGCACAATTGCTGCATACTAAGCTACCGAATTTTTTAGAAGACCTTCGAAGAAGCAGAGCATCTAGTTATGTGATCAAAACACCTCTAGGTGTAAAATGGGAGGAAAAAATAGCCTGTGTGTGTTCGCAATTTTCGTCCGGTAACTTTTATCATTCCAGTCAATTACCCATTATTATGCTCTTGGATCCCTATTAGAAGAGAAAGCATGGAAAGACGAGGCTAAAGCCCTAGTTAAACACTTGTTACTACAAAAATATGGTGATGTTTTAATAGTTGCATATAGAACTTATCTTTTATATTGGGCTCGTGGTCCTTTACATCTTTTCTCATCCTAATCTATTACTCCGTATGTCCTCTGTTGTCTTTGGAAAGAAGATTTTGCTACTTTAAAGAGTGAAGCCCAGATGTTGGCTCAACAGGAGCTCAATACCGTATTAGAATTGGTCCCTTTCACAGGAGCTCAAGACTGAGGAGAGGCATATATAATAAATTATTTTAGTTCATTCTATTTTTGGATATCTTATTTTATTATTTTATTTTATCTTTATTTTTATTTTTATTTTAGTTTTATTATATATAGTTATTTTGCCTCACCAATTCCATTTTGATAACAAAACCTACATAGTATAGTCACGATGGGAATATTTAATTAGTTATACTAAAAGGGTAATTGATAGTGGCTTGGTGGTTTATTTCCTGTAAACGCGTATACGTGCTTACACAAATTTGTAGATCATACACCAAGAGCATAATCGCTCAAATTAATGCGTATTCACTTAGAAAAGAATATATATGTTTAAAGTAAAACGCATTTGCTCTAAATAGAGTATACACGCTCTTAGAAAATTTAATGTATATAAGTCTTTGAATTTTAATAAAGTTAAACAAATTCCACCTTCGCTTTTAATGATTGAAAGTAATAAAGTAAATACTTATCCCATTGAAATTTTAACTTGTAACTTTAATAAAACTCTGTGAGACTCAATTCAACAGACCGAATTGACTTTAACTTCACATTGTTCTATTAAGACTCAGAATTTTGTGTAATGAACCTCTTTATGTTTTGGAACTTAGTCATGTAATTCTCATCTGGAAATTCTTTCATCCTAAGAAAAGATTAATTTGAAGACATGTAAAAGTAACCGCCCCACCTCCCTTGGCATCACCAGCATCAGCTGATTTTATAGATAGCTGAAAGAAGATATAATTTATCTTTAAAGTGTCCATATATCAATTTTGTATCATAAATCGCTTTAGATATCAATTTCCATTGATATCATCCCCATGATCACAAATATAGTCATTCTCGATTGATCATTCTCAAAGTTCTGTTATTGTTATTATTATCAATCAATCATACCCTTTCCACTTGCTCTTAGAAATATCATTCCCCATTGATATCATTTCCAAATTATTTTAATTCATACTTCTTTCCTTCTTTCATGTATGTATTTTAGTTATTATCAGTGCTTAAATCATTAAGTTTATTTTATTGTATAGTTCAATTAGTTTAAGTCAGATTTATAGCTTTCGTTTATTTATATAAACCCCAATCTTGTAATCGGTTGGAGTTTAAATTGGCACTATTTGTCAATAACCGCTTTGCTCTCCCAAACACAACCATTACAGTATCCTTCAGGCACCTAAAGCCTGAGCAGACCGATCCTTCCAGGTTGCCGGCTGGAAGTAAGGGAGGGACCAATAAAAAATCTGGGTAAGGAGACAGTCCGAATGTGAATATCGGGGTTGTTGTAAACCAAATAAGGGCAAGGAGTACATAATGAGCACCTAGTTAGGAAGGTTGGTGCTTGAGGTACATCTGTAGAATGGCAGCATCCAAAAGATGCTGTAAGATACAAATACAGAAAGGCAGACCAATATGTACTAATTAGGAAAAGGTTATATAAACATGCAGGTGAATACAGGTTATATGAACATGCAGGTGAATACATGTGTAGGACATATACTGCTTTGTTAGGTTTACCTCAAGGATAGATTAGCCAAAAATAGTTGGTAAGTCCTAAGGCAATCAGTAATTCTTTGCCAGAATGATACCAAAATCCATATATAAATGGTGCGGAAGCCTGAGGTTAGATAGTTAAATAGGTATCCTTCTAGTTGGGTGCAGGTACGGCAAATAGTGTAGAACCTTTGGACAGACTACTTAAATTAGGCACTCAAAAGGTGCACGTGTGGCTTGATGTACCATCGTTGTAATTGCGTATAAACACCATTTCAAATCCTAATAAAAGCTTTCAGGCCAAAGAGGTCTCTTTAATGTTAAAAAAAAAAAAAATTATAAAAGCATAAATTGTAATTAAAATTATTACAATAATAATAAGAGAATTACTATTTGTACACTAGTGTGTATACATGGGTATTGTTATTACTTAAAATTTTGCTTATGAAGGTTCTAACAAAAACTTATTTATGCAAAATTTTAGTATAAAATACTCTCTAATCCTAACCTCTAACCTTAACTCTAACCCTAATATTAAGTAGTTTTTTTTTTATAAATTTATATGTTGCAAGTCAATTAATTAATACTCGTGTGTATCACTAGTGTAGGCTTAGAAATTTTCTATATTTAATAATTTTATTATAAGTTTATATTAACTTTAATATTGTATATACTGTAGTAGTATATTAACTAAGCTATTTATTTATAAATTTTAATTGGTTTAGCCAAAATATATTAACTAACAACTAGCAATATTTTAATAGTTACTAATTCGATTAACTTTAAGTTTGTATCGTTTTATACTAAAATATAATATTATTTTTAATATTATATTACTTTTAATTAATTAAATTATGAAAACATTTAATACAAAAATTAGATACTGCTGTATATAATATAAAAATAGTAATTTTATAGCAAAATAAAATTTAAACTTATTATAATACTTTTTTTTTTAAAAAAAAAAAAAGATAAAAAATTCTACATTTTAATTTAATTTTTAAATGTTTTACATTATTAATATTCATATTTAGACTTATGTTTCATCCTATTATACTAGTATATATTAAACATTATGATGTAATTTTATTTTTAAAAGGTATATTTAAAAAGTATTTTATTTTTAACAAACATCAAACTTTAATCTATTATTATCATTAGTGTGCAGTAGTTTAGTAGTTTACAGTGATTTGAAATATTAATCAACATACTAAAATATAATTGTAACAGTTTTACGTACGTACGTACTGTACGTAGCGGATTAATAAATAAACATATATTGACATTGTAATAAATAATAAATTAACAAAAAAATCGCATAATAGGTACGTATTTATTAGGTTTTATTAATGAATGAATTACGTATATACGTATATTCGTACCGTACGTACGTACTAGTTACAATGAGAGTATGACTAAGCAATTGTTATAAAAATAATGTTCTAACGCTAATTATACGTATATATAGCATACAGTATGTAGGTACGTAGGTACGTAGTTAGAAAGTAAACCAAAAAAAAAAATTTTTTTCTTTGTTCTGAGACTGTATTACATACGATCTGACTAAAAGAAACTTTACACAGGGTTGTAACAGATCCCCCCCCCCTGTTGACGTCTGTCAGTCATACGTTGATCTACTGTATCAGATTATTTTGTAAGCAAAAATAAAAATGTATGTAAATTTCAAGGGAGTAAAAATGCGTTATGTATGATAAAAATTTCTTTGAATAAGACAAATTAATCATCCTTAAAAAAAAAAGTTTATATAGTGTTAGTGTTAGTGCTAGTACATATTAGTTATTTTGAATAAAGTACGTATGTATACGTATCATCATATTGATAATCTTTTACATAATTACAATAACCTGGTAATTCGATATACCGACACGTAGCAAGTGATGGATGTACAGAAAATCTTTACACTTGGATAAATGATTCATGCAAAGGGTTAAAAAAATCGGTTAACTTTTCTTGTCTTAATAATCTCTAAAAAAAACAATTACATATAAAAGTACTACGTATGGGAAAACAATATCGCTATTTAGGTGGTAATATATCATAATCATGACTAATAAATAATAAACCTATATGGTATTAATTAGCCAGACATTTCTAATATATATATATATATTTTAGATGGAAAAAAAAACATCCGGAAATTCCGAATGAATTTAATTTCTTATTTAGTATACTCATACGCGATGTTTGAGAGTATAATGGTAGCTTGTAAAAATTTTATTTTTTATGATTAACGCATTATAGAACAATGTGATTTTCATTTCTTTTTGCTACGTACAGTATTTGATGCAATGAATACTTATTGATGCCAAAAAGAAAAAAGAAAAGATAAATAAATAAATAAACGAATGAAATGATGCAAAATAGATGTACGAAATAGTAATTGCTAATAAAGAAAAAAAAAAACTTTTTTATATTGTGCAAAGAAGTCGTGTCGAAAAAAAAATAATAATAAAAAAATTTACAAAGAATGAAAAATGCCTTGACGACATGTAACAAAATATTTTTACAAGGAATTAAAAAATGAATGAAAAGAAAAAATAAATACGTGACATAACTTTATGCATTAAAAAGAAAAGATATTGAAAAATTATTATTTTTTCTTTTTTTTTTCTCTTTTTTTTTTTTTTTTTTTTTTTTTAGCCTTTCGATGTTTTCTTTTTTTTTCAAACCCGTTAAGCACACACAAAAGGATAAGAGATTAGTTGTAAAAATGATGGGTTGCGAAACGGAAGGGAATTTTGTAATTTTATACAATGAATGAATGAAAAATTAAAATAGATAAATAATATATATTAAAATCTAATATGTACAAAAAGTGTGAAAGTTGGCTATAATACCCAATAATTTCTTTTTTTTTTTTTTTTTTTTTTTTTTTTGAGGGGATGATATTGAACTTTTAGGAAAAATCAACACGTATTACTTATATTTTGTTGCTAAAAATCTATACCCGACATTATATGGTTTATACTCGCTTAATTCACAATGCCAAGCTTCCAATAATTTATCATATTCTTCTGGTTCAAGACCAAGAAATGAAGAAAATTTAGTTCGAAAAGTACGAAATATATTGGCTATAAAAATTGATAAAATAATTAAAAAGAATGAATAGATACTTAATTAGATGAATTCGTTACGCGATACAATAGCATAACAGATAAAACGAAAATAATTAAATACCAGTATTTTCGGCTAATAACGCGCCAACTCTACCGGCCCATTTACCAAAAGGCGTTGACATCTCTTCAAATTTTATATTTGTTAGCTGTCGCGTGTTCATCAATATATCGGTCATGTGTTTATATACCGTAGTGTCAATATTACGTGACAGGAGGTCAGACAAAACTAGAAAAGGGTATTTAAATAATAAATAGGTTATTACAGTACTAAAGATTTAATGTAATAAATGAATTTAACATATATTTACATGCACTATGTAATAGTCGTGATATAGGACCATCGTTTCTTGGTTCTATTTCATCTTCCATTATTTCAATAATTCCATTAGTTTTTGTTACTCTGATAATTTCTCTAAGAATATTATAAAAAACGGAATTAGTTGATTGTAATGAATATAGTAATATAAATATATGAAATAATTTTATACAATATTACAGTATAATATAGATAAAAATATTTACTTTAAACCACGTTCCCATTCTTGTTTACTAAAGGCAGTCATTAGAAACCTCATGTGAACGTAATCAAAAGTATTATCGTTATATGGTAGCCCATCAAGTAGATTAGCTTCCACAAATTGAGCATTTTCTGGCTTCGCTTCTCTCGGAAACACAGGAGCAATATCTACACCTGTGAAATGGGAATTAGGGAATTCATTTGCCATTTCTACGACCCAAGTACCAGTACCACATCTATAAAGAAAGATTTATAATATATATTAAAAGAATAAATAATTATTTTAAAAGAGTAGATAGATGCCTACCCGACGTCCAACACAAGAGCACCAGAACTTAATCTATCATGCATTGGAGTTGAATAGTTACGTTGCCATATGAAACGACAAATATAATGCAATACATGTAATCTATCAAGTTCATCATCATCACAAGGCATCATATACTTTGAATTTCTGACATTATGAAATCTTCTTCCATCAATAAATCGATATTCCTCGTTAACTTCACAATCAAAAGTATCACTTATAATAAGATGAGCATCAGATAATGGGGAGCTTACTGAAGAAGCAGGCATACGACGATGTGGCTTTCGACGTTTGTGACCTAGTTTTGGTTTACATAAACAAGCACCCATATCTTAACTTTTGTATCCAAACTTATTTTTTTTAGTGAAAGATTTGTTGAATTTTTAAAAGATTCGGTCGATATACAGTATATATATATATTTTATTAATATTAAAGAAGATTTTAAGAAAAGGGAACTCGCAGGATTTTAAAATTTTTTACAATTCAAGGGATTTATTATTTACAAATATATACTCATCGCAATATAATTTTAATTGCGAGAGTTTTTCGATGGAATCCTGTTCCAGTCCGAAGATTTCTACTATCCGATGAGAATAAAGTAAAAAAAAAAAAAAAAGTATTTCTTTGTTTCTTTTTTTTTTATTTACTAACCTCTTTTTATCAGATTTTCGAAAGATAAATTTTTTTTTTTTTCTTTCTTTAAATAAAATAAATAAATAAAATAAATTAAAAAAATAAAAAAATAAAAAATTTATGGGGGTGTCGAAATTTCTTTGCCCTTTATATTGACACAAATTGACATAAATGACTCGAGTAAATATATACTACGTGCAACGTTTACAATTTAATCGGAGGTATTCTAAATTCAAATGTTTACAAATATATTTAGTCACGCATATAAAATTCAAAAAAAATGGTTAGCCTTTTATAGAGTTTTAACCGAAGTTATTGTAAAAAATAGAGTAAAATAAATAGTAATAATATACAGTATAAAAAAAAAAATGATAAAATTAAAAAACCTTTTGAAAATCTAAGGGAGAAAATCAGTCGGAGTTGTTGATTCAGTTGACGTAGCTCGGGTACTTTATTTAACTGATACAGTGATACAGTGATACAGTGATACAGTGATATAGGGGTGATACAAACCGCATAATGTGTGTAAAGATGCACATATGTAAGGAGTTCGTTAATATATGAATATAAAAACTAGAGTAAACCTGATTTATATTAAAAAAATTGGCGGGAAATCAAAGTACTACCACTACTATTTCTTTGACATAGATTACACAGGTACAAAACCTTACTATCGTACGAGATTAAGAAATCGACTCCTCAAAGATACAATGATAAACACATAAAAATAGCCGGCCACGTTAAAAAGGGGTTATTAAATTTTTTAAAAAAAGAGTTTTGTTTTTTTTTTTAAATAATAAAAGAGCATTAATTTAATTAGAATTAACATAAAGTTTACCAAAACTGATAAGCGATAAGAGTTTATTAATGAGCATCAGACGGAGTAACAATAGAAAGTAGAAAGTGAGTGATTATGTATCACTAACCACGTTTTTTAATTTAATATGATCTATGAATCATTGGTAGATTTGTTTAACATATCTAATATATCTAAATATAACTAATACTGTATAACTAACTAATATATCTAATATTATCTAATATATCTAATATTATCTAATATATCTAACATATCGTGGTCTTTGCATTTCGTACGTACGTTATAAAAAAAACATTTTTTTAAAAAAAATACATGAGAAATGATTAAATGAATTAAAATTATGACGGTATGAGGAATGATAAATTATGGTAATTAAATATAAATTCTACCTTTGTTATCTACGCCAATTTTCCTGAACAATCTCTTAAATATAGTAATTTGATTTTAATAGTTCAATAATTCAATATTCAATAATTTTGATAATTTTGATAATTTCAATAATTTCGATAATTCAAAAAAAAAACTTTTATTTTATCAAGGAGCGCCAAATATAAAAAGATTTTGATTGATCTTGTGTCAATAAACATAATGATATTCGATCAACTTTCCCTTTCGAGTACTAATCTTTTCTATCTCATCTGCTTTGCGCGTTATGTTACTGTACTTACATATTTAATTTCCTATCCTTATTAACTTCCTATCCTTATTAACTTCCTATCCTTATTAACTTCCTATCCTTATTAACTAATCTTACATATTTAACTTCCTATACTTATTAACCAATATTTTTCCTTTTTGTTCATTGTTCTTTTTCCGGTATTTCTTTATCTTAATAATATCTATATATATTATATATTTTTGATTTAAATTAAAATTGATGCATTAATTAATATTATAATAATTCTAAAAGGTCGTACACAACATGCATATTCTTGGATGTTATCATTATGATTACTGGTTAGTGTTGGATATTTTGTCGATTTCTCGTAACTAAACATGTGTATCTCGAAGAAAAAAAATACGCGCCAATACACACTTTCATAACTTCATAATTCATGTTATCATGCAGACAAAGGTTTCTTTTTTTAATTCGTTACTTATCATTGTTACTGTTCTAGGTTTAT